GTATGTATCTATGTATGTGTATGTATATATGTATGTATGTATCTATGTATGTGTGTATATATAGAAATATGTAATGTAGAAAATGTATGTAATGTTAACGTGTTCCATGTATGTAGTATATGTAGTATATGAAACGAGATTTCTTGTCATGCTACGTTATGCTACACTTTGCCACACTGTGTTATGTTACTTTGTGTTATGTTATGTATGTATGCGAGGACGTATGTACCGGCATGTATGTCTGCGTAATCACAATGATAATAAGAAACATTGTATTGTACTCGTTGTCATGTACGCACAACCATATCTTTCTGCATTCGCTTGGCTCACTTACATATAATATATACATATATATATATATATATGTATATATGTATCTGTATACACACACGAAAAACTGCACATACATAGTGATCTTGTGGGTAGCAGGTACAGTAGTTCATTGATAAATTGCGTAATTACTTAACGGGCTGTTAACTAAGTAAGGAAGTATATAAGTGAATCAACTAAGCATTCAACCAGTCAATTACTTAATCAACTATCATTTCAACTGTCATTAAGCAAATAAGAAAAAGGTAAGTAAACAAGTAAGTGCATGAATAAGTAGGTAAGTAAACAAGTCCGTAATCATATGTTTGATTTATGAGTCGAGTATGCATACAGATGGGTAGGTAGCGATTTGTGTGTTTGTGTACATGTATACAAGGTTGTTAACAATATGCCCAAAAGGCACACTGGCGATAAGCCCAAACCCTAAACCCTAAACCTGCTACAATCATTATAGAAGCCTTCTTTATAGAACCATGAGCCTAAACCCATATGAAACCCCCAACTCTGAAAAAGGAGTGCTTACGTTAGAGACCCTAGAGGCTATCGTAACCCTGAAGAAAACTTCCTATAGTCTCCATTGCAGTTCTTTTTTTGGTTTAACCAAATATATACTAAGGATTTTATAAGGTATCCCCAAAAAGAAACTGGACTATAGGTAAAACCCCATAGAACTGTTCGAAACCTTATAGACACCCAGCAAAGGAATGCTGGTCACTGGTGTCAAGCGCTTGCTCTGCTTGCTGAGATGTCCGAGAGGAAGGTGACAGTGAGCGTGAATTTTGGCAGCGAGTTCCCAGGTGTTAGGGCTTCCTTGTTTAGGGTTTATAAGCTTAGGAGCCGAGTAGGTAAACTTTAAACTTTTTGGTATATTAAACCCCCTACTGAAAGAAAAGTTTAAACTTTTTTGGGCCAGGGTACTGGGCTTCAAGGTAAGGCTCATGATACATGGGGTCTATAGGCTTGGTTTAGGATGCAGAGAAAAGGCCCACTACCCAGAGGATCATGGCACTTGTAGAACTACCCAGAACCCTGGCCGTAACCAAGAACATAGACTGTAAATCGTACCTACCGATTCAGAAGCCCACTACTGTCTTAGGGGGTAAATGTATCCTATAACTGAGGGGTCGTAGCCTGCCAGATTTTGTCGCGTTTGGGGCTACAGCTGACAGCGCGGAGGAATCGTTTTGGAAAGGGACGCTTTCAGATGGTAAGGAAGGCTAAAACATTTTGTGTCCTCAGAGGTGCGTCTTTGTGGGTGGAGGCGTTTCGGCTCCAAGGCGAATTCCGGTGGTTTAAGGCTTAAGGGTTTTGGGGTTACTTCTAGGGTCCCTAGACCCTAAACCCCAAACCCTAAACCTGATCCGAATGATTGTGTGTTTGGGTATTCTCGGATTACGATCCTTGCGAGGGTCGTGATGATTGGGTTTTTTTACGTGAGAGCCGGAGTGTTGCTCGCTGGCTTCCGGAAGATAAACAAATGAATAACATTTATATATATATATAATATAATATAATAGAATATAATATAATATAATATAATATAATATAATATAATACAATATAATACAAGATATCATAATATAATATAAGATAATATAAGATAATATAATATATCATAATATAGTATAATATAATATAATATAATATAATATACTATTATATAATATAATATAATATAATATATTAGAATAGAATAGAATAGAATATAATATAATATAATATAATATAATATAATATATTATAATATAATATAGTATAATATAATATAATATACTATACTATAATATAATATAATATAATATAATATAATATATTATAATATATACTATAATATAATATAATATAATATAATATAATATAATATAATATAGTATATATAATATAATATAATATAATATAATATAATATAATATAATATAATATAATATAATATAATATAATATAATATAGTATAATATAATAAAACATAATATAACATAATATAATAGAATGTATATTATATGTATTTTTTGGCCGAACGTCAAACTCGACCCTTGCGACGAGCTGGCTCACTTACCTTCTGTCATAGTTTGACCTCCAGGACTACAAGTTCTCCTCAATCTCGGCAATGCACGAAGTATTTCCAAACAGGCGGAGTGACCATACGTCTTTTTGCATCACAGTTGCCTATTACAGCGAGTCAAGCGGACGTGATGTCGCTAAGCATATAGACTTGAAACCAATATGCAGATTTGTAAGCACAGTCATTTCGAACATGTATTTCAGAAGCAACAGATCAAACAGAAACCTTGCCGGCATACTGAGCATTGGTTCGTTGGTGTGTCTTTCCATACTAACGCGTCGCTTCCATGGGAGTTCCACGCAGGGTTTAGGGTTTAGGGTTCAGGGTTTAGGGAGTAGGGTTCATGCGCATTCGATGACATGACATGTAGGATAGCCGCGCAAGCCCTGTGAAGAAATCAGTCTTGCGCTGTGTTGATGTTCCCGATAGCAACTCGGCACCTTGCCGCTCATATACACGGAAAGTTCAGGTGGTTGCCTATCATTGCTTAGGTAATGTCGTAACTACCGTTGTTCTACGTTATGTACGGCTTGTATGCATGAACAAAATGCAGCAGCAGTCTGTTTGCATTGCCAGATCGGCAACCTTCTTCACAACGTTTTCACATGGTCTGACACTAAGACGTTGAGTTGAAAATTCAACATCTTCAATCTCAATCTCCACGGTGAAAGACAGGAATTACGGCATGTTGAATCGTTTCCGGCAATCTGCAAGGCAGCTATGATGTCCTCGACAGAGCGGTAGGTTTGTAGTAACGGCGTTGTTTACGAGCCGGCACGGCGATGTTGGGGCTTACTTATCGCCGATGCAATGCTGTTCTTGTGGGCAGAATTTCAAGAGGAGGCGGGTAATTCGTGATGCAGCGATTCTTTCGGGTATCCCTCGCCTTGTGGCGTGGGTTTTTAAGCTTTAATCCCTTGTCCGTTGTCGGTGTTTAGGTCTGCTTGGGGCGTGTTCGTGTTTCGGATGATGAGAACTGTGGGATTAGTGCCTGTGCAGAACGGGGGTGAATATGCCGAAAGGCCGAGGCATTGAGGGTTGATAGCCGAAACGGCGATTAAGCCCTACAAGCACAGTCCTCGCCGTAAACAAGCTCGAAACCCTAAACTACCCGCAACAAGAAGCCTTAGATGCACTGAGCCCCAAACTCCAAACCATAAACACCAGCGAACAGAAACCGCTCAGGATCACCTACAATGCTGTGCTCAGCGCATGTGAAGCCTGGCTACACTTCCACAACACCGGCTTGACATGTTGTTGGTCAGCCGGGTTTCGTCGTGTTTTTGCTTGCTATGTTTGTCTATGGTTTTGCTACGTAATATTTTGCTTGAATTTCATGACGGGTTTACTCGGCGCTAAGAGCTTTTGGAGATTTCACGTAGGTTTCTGACAGGGTTTAAGCAACTTTCCGATTTAGGGCCTAAGTTGTAGGGTTTACATAGACCCCACGAAAGTCACCTCAGTTCTTAGTCTAGGAGCCTAACCACGACATAGGTCAGCCAACAAAATGTGCTACATTCGTTTCGGTAGGTTAGCCCTAACAAGTGCTCCATTCGTTTACCCTAAGGGTCCATGTGCCCAAATAGTATATACTTTGGCCTTAATGTAGTCCCTATATAGGTACTTTAGGGCCAATGTATATACCATTTAGGTACATGGACCCTTAGGGTTAGGCAGGGTTTACGCTTGGAACAGGCATGTTTGCATCCTCATCCCGAAACCTGACCCCCATCCAAGGACACGGGTTCTCGGTGGCAGCACGCTTTCGAGGTTTTTGGAAACCTCCACCGAAGAAGGAGACAAGGGGTTCAGAATTTAGCGTTGGGGTTGAATGTTGGAGGTTCTTGTCCGTTTGGGAACAGGAAGAGACCCGACATCATTTCCTACAACGCCCTCCAAAGCAGCTGTGCAGCGTCTTCACATTGGCAGCTGGCGGTTTGGTGCCATGGTGGGTTTCACTTGATCTATGTTCGGGATCAGGATGTAGATTTTAGCGTGATAGTGCATGATACATGCAGTGCAAGTAACTGATTAGTTCACCCCCTCGTCGTGGACTTACGGACGGCTTGCATACAAGTTATTTATAGATACAGCGAGGAGTTATGAATGAGTCATAGGCTTGTGCTTACAACAATTCATGCACATGAAGCTGTTCTGACCTTCCTAGGTTAAGTGGCGACCCAGAACCCTGATTGGCGAAGCCCGAAAGCAGCTTCCTACCAGCCGGTCCAACACCCAAACAGGCATGAGGCATAGTTTTCATATAGGGTTCGGAATACTTTCAATAATAATTAACAACATGTCTTGAAAATGTGTTAGTAAGGGTTCCTCATTATAACGACACGATCATCTACGCCAAAACTCTGCAATTGTGTCCATGTAGCGCAGGAACGGGTATAGGGCGTACGTGATGCCCAACTTGCTGACGCTGTAGATGATGGCTAGGTTTGGGACCCGAAGCTGCAGAGATAGGGATGTACAGGGTTGAATTAGGATTAGGGCTTGGAGCTTTTAGGGCTTACAAGCCCTAAGACTGGGCTTAAGAGCCCTTGTTTCATGAGGGCTGGGGTTTAAGCTTCACAGGCCCCAAAACTTCAATTAACACTAAGCTAGGCGCTGAGCCCTGGATCGTATAATGAAGCCTATTGCAACCTTTGAGGAACGTTCCTCGGGAATATTTTTATAACTTACGGCAATTCCCTGAATTACAGGTTTGGGACTTTCGTGGAATTTCAGAAGCCCTGAAGCCCTTATAAACTACCTGGACCTTATAAAGCCTACCTGTTTAGGTTTCGATAGTATGAGACTAGGTCTTTCAGGGTTCCTGTAAACTTATAAATGCAACTCTGCACAAGGCCTTTGACTCTATGCCCTAGGTCCCAAACCCTAAACCCTAAAGCCTAAACCCTAAACCCTAAACTACACCTCAAACTGCCATCACCTACTTCTGGTAGCTATTTATCCTAATCCAGACAGAATGGCCACGGTTTGCGGTTTAGGGTTTAGGGTCAGAATAACTATGCAGCGACCCTACAAACCTGCAAAACAAGGGTGGGTCTTGGCAGTTTAAGATAGAGTCGAAACCCTGAGCTCTACCCAAAAGGCTCCTAAGAACTTCTATAGTAGATCCTATACCCTAAACCCTAAGAGCCTATGTAGTAGAAAGTAGGGTTGCCATAGTAGGAATCACTGTCATGAGTTCCCCCAGAACGGTACCTAGGACCCTTCAGACCCTCAACCCGCATCAACCTGTAAACCCGTACAAGAAGCCCTTCCCTAAACCCTAAACCCTAAACCCCTAAACCCTTACAGGAGCCCTTAAAGGTTTTAGGGACCATAAACCCTAAACCTTAGGCTTCTGATGGAAGCCGCTGGGCAGCGAGTGGACGCGGACGCCATCACCTTCGAGATGGTCCTGCTGGCAGCTGAGGGCGGCGGAGCATCCAAGGTGCGCAAAGGGCTTGTTCGACAGGGTTTAGGGTTCAGGGTTTTTGTTCGACATGTTTTGGGTTTACAGGGTTTAAATGACCATAAACCCTAAACCCCTTAGGCCTTATCGAGCATCAGAATGATGTTGTTTGTGGTGGTTCAGTGACATGGTATCGGGTTCCATATGCCTTCAGATATGCGGATTTCAGATGCAGTGTTGTGTGTGTGCTGATCCAGCAAGGTATTTTGGTTGCGGATAGCAGTTATCTAGGTCAAGACTCGGGAGAGTATATATGATTATTACCCTAATGGTCCAGGTACCTAATAATCATATACTCTCCCAAATAGTAACCTACATAAATAACTACTATCCGAAACCTGAGTACCTGATTCTTGGGTCCTCTGGATTTTTGGGGTATGATTATTAGGTGCCTTGGACCCCTATGGATCGGGGGTTGAGATGATACATTTACTTGGAGGATCATGGGACTTAGTAAGTAAGGTTATAAGTACCTTAACTGGGGTTATAAGTAAGTATAAGTATAGTTACTTTCTGTATAACCCTAGTTACTAAGTCCCATGATCCTTGAAGTAGGGCTACTAGGTTGCAGAGCTTACTATTGTAGGTTGGTTGCAGGTCTAGAACAGGTGGAGTTAATGGTTCAGCATTCTAGGTTTACCCAAGGGTCACCCAAATAGTAGGGTTTGAGGTCTCAAAGACAATGGAATGAAATCCCTACTATTTGGGCAGGTGGACTCTTAGGGTTAGGTTATATAGTAACGTGGCTCCCTTACTTTCGTGATATAAACATGTTACAACAATTGCACCTACATGCTCTTCTGAATAGAAGGCCCTTATAAGAAAGCCTAGACCCTATCTCTGGATGCCGAAAACCCCTATGTAAACCCTGACCTCGAAACTCTAGCACATTTTCAGGTGGGCAGTTACCGTTATACGAGCCTTAAAGAAGGTCTATATACCTTATAGATGCCTTACAGAAGCCTTATAGAAACCCTAAACTCCCCACTTGTAGTCTCCTAAACCCTAAACCCTAACCGCAAGGGTTCCTTTAAGGGCCCCTCCTTTAGTCCCTGAACTCCCCACCTGTAGTTTCCTTTCACAAACCGTGAAGCCCCTAAGATGTCACACCAGGAGATGCCGAAGTTGCTACCATCCCTGGCCAGCGTGGGACTTGCATGCTGTCATGGAGCCTGCTGAAGCGCTTTCTAGGGCTTAGAGGCTTTTAGGGTTTAGGGTTTGAGGGTTTAGGGTTTAGGGCTTAGGGTTTCTGGGGT